AAGTGTGGAAGTGAAACTAAATAGTAACTGCATTACTTCAATCGACGGAGCGAATACCGCTGTCTGCCGGACAGGCGAAATGTGACGCAACCCTTCGCACATTTGCCCAGCAGATAAACTAGACATAAACCCGCAAAAGTATGCTTAAGTTGATCTACATAACGAAACTGCTTGAGTTGTTACTTTGGTGAAATTTATTAAGTAGCTATAATTATGAAAATACTTATGTAGGAATATTTAACAAACTGTTTAGGCTGGTCATTTTGCCAGGGAGGTTAATTAAGAGTATACGTAAAAAATGCTTAATCGGGTTCATTTGCGAAACTGGTTAAAATAGGCTATCCCTGTAACAGGACGTGAAGGCCCATAGCGCTGTGAGAGGTGGAGGCTCCCACATTTTCTAGACAGTCGGCTCACAGATGACGGTAAGTTTGTCAGCTTTACGCGCCGTAGGAAGCGAGACGTCAGAAATTTACCCAATTGAAGCAGGTGTACCTCAAGGTAGCGTGCTGGGGCCAATGCTATACGTACTCTTCACGTCAGACATTCCAACATCAACAAACACCACTACCGGCACGTTCGCAGACGACACAGCGATCTTATCAAGCAATAAAAGCCTGGAGCTAGCCACAGTACATCTACAACAACATCTCGATACCCTCCAGGATTGGTTCAAGAAATGGAGAATAAAGATAAATGAAAGTAAGTCCGTTCATATTACCTTTACATTAAGGAAAAAGAAACCAACAGTCGTCCATATAAATAACACCGTTATTCCTAGCAAAGAAGAAGTTAAATACCTCGGAATGCATCTAGACTGCAAAATGACGTGGAAATGCCACATAGCAAAAAAACGTAAACAAATAGATTTACTGACCAAGCAGATGTCCTGGCTTATAGGCAGAAGATCAAAACTATCCCTCGAAAACAAAATCCTTATATACAAAACAGTAATTATACCAATCTGGACTTACGGCATCGAACTCTGGGGATGTGCCAGTAAGTCCAACACCAACATTATCCAAAGATCACAATCGAAAATCCTAAGGATGTTAGTCGACGCACCTGGTATGTGTCAAATGAAACCCTACATCAAGACTTGAAATTAAAATTCGTGAAAGAAATCATCCTGGACAGAAGCCGCCAACACATGAGCAAAATTGAAACCCACGAGAACGAACTATTGCAACCACTCAGGGAGCCAACCAACAATAGAAGATTAAAAAGGAAATGGCCAAATGACCTGATATAAAACAAATCAACTTCTGAAGAGGTAATGTCGATGGACATTTTCCTCGCATGACATGTAAATAGTCCTTAGCGAAACCATTAACCTATAGAATGTACGTAATTCTGATTGTTAATAAATAAGTTCCTCCGAAAAAAAAAAGCTTTACGCGCCGGCCTCCCTTTACCCCCAAGGAAGATTCCTGATACTCATTTCTGTTAGGGGCTGATTCGACTCCAGGATCATAGTGCGGCTGGAAGGATTAGGTAAATTGAAAATAAAAATCCACCTCATCGGGACTGGAACCTTTTTGCTTGTAGCGTAAGTGCCTTAACCATCTACAACTTGTCTTGTTTATGAAACTCTATAAGAAAGTCTATGAAAAATCTTATATTGTCTTACCTATTAAACCACGTTGGTAGGACTACTTGCGAAACTGCTTATGCTGGTCTTTTTATGAAATTTATTATGTAGGCATAGTTATGAAAAATTTACGTAGGCATATTTATTAAATTGCTTAAGTTGGCCATTTTACGAATAAGTTAAGTAAGCGTAAATACATAAATGCTTAAGCAGGTTTTTTTAAGGAACTTTTTAATTTGTCCTCTTTATCAAATTGCTTAAGGAGGACCATTTACGAAACTGCTTGAGCTGGAGCATCTATGAAACAGCTTCCATAATTTTTAAACGTCTTCTTGTATTGGAAAATAGTCTCCTTTTACAACAACATCATTCTGATATTGTTAGATTCCTCCATGGCGATGTTGTAATTTCAGTGAATTCCCGTCACCGTTGCTCGAAAGTCTCTCGTCTTGTTACAATTTAATAATTAGCCCCAGTGAAACAGGGGGGAGTTTTTGTCTGTCAGCCCATAACTCACTTGCGGAATGAAGGGAATGAGGCTGTCTCTGCCGAAAATTACACGGCACGCCAGTGTCCTAATGAGGCGCAGGAGGCATCGGCGGGAATCGGGGCGGAATTTGGGAGCCAGTTCCATCCCCTGGCATTTAATTACAATTAGCATATCGCCCGCGCAGCACAGTAACAAGGGCATCGAATAGCAGAACCAGAAATGATACTCGTACACTTAAAATTGTAAAAATCTGTGGCGGTACATATACTTACATATGGGTCCGAAATTTGGACTACCCCCCCTCCCAACAGAAAGCAGGAAACCAAAATTGAGACTCTCTCTCTCTCTCTCATGTTGCTCTCATTTTGGGCATAGGGCATCCATGAAACGAATTGTTTCACTTCGGTTTCTCAATCATAGACAGGCGGTAGGACACCTTGGACCAGGATCAGCCAGTCGCAAGGCCGCTGCCTACACAAAGAACAACACAATCACAAAATAAACACAAATATCTGTGCGTTGAATGGGGTTCGAACCCATGAATCCAGTATTCGAGCGAGCGAAAATATTTCATGTCATTAATGCGCACGACGATCTCATATTCCCGTATTTTTCCTCAGCCCTTTAAAGCACAGTGGTGACTTGTACCACCTGCTTTAACTTTAAAATCCCTGCCGCTTTCTCATAGGTGTGTTTAGTGTGTTTAGTGTCGTATGAATCTTAAAAGAAACAGCGATTATTTCCGTAAACAGTGTTTACTGATTGGTTTCTGTAATGGAGATGCATTGTGTTTCTGTTCTGCAGGAAATGAATACGTAAATGCCATTTGCATGAACTTCATACCTCTAAGGATTAACGAAGGCGATTAGGCCAAGGAGGGACTTCTAATCGTGTGGATAATGTTACAACCGCCGTAAAGTGACGGATGTAGCATGTTCAGAAACTGAGCTAATTAATTTCTTGTACAAACGCAAGCAGTTGAGTACAGATCCACACAGAAGTATTCACATTTTGCGTTTCTTGATGTTTATTACAATAAAGGAAATACAGTTTCGTTATCTGCAATATAATGATGGAATATAGAGGATGCAGACTTTCTGAAACAATGAATATGAAGGGAAGAACTGTATGCGTGTTACAAGTTTTGTTGATGCACGCAGTGGCGGCTCGTTAGCCTCCGCAGAATATGATTCCAAAAGATTGAATATAGTTTCTCTACATTCCCTTATTCGGTGGTATTTGTCTACATCATATCTTAAACTATTAGTATTTGAACCCTTAAAAACACAGTGGTAACTATATGTACCACCTACAAGAGCTTTAAAAAAACATTTGCCCAGAGTGTATATTTGGGTTCGAGATGATTCTCAGAACAAATAAGAGTTTTTCCCCTATATAGCATTAACTATTAATGAAGAAGCAGTAGGTCTATATTTTCTGTGAGGTAAGAAATACATTAAAAAAAACGTAATTTAAAATAGCTGTGTACTTTAAAGAGCTATATGAACTGCATATTAATTGTCTACCTACAGCCCCTAGTTCGAAGCCTCGGCATTATAAAGACATTTATTTTCAAGCTGTATGCTGTTCAAATTTTCATTAGTCTTATTTTGAAACTTTGCTCATAAATTAAGATTATATGTATAATTGTGTTACCAGATATTTTAATTTTGCTACATATATAAGATAGGAGGCAGCAAAATACTTATTTCTCGAAATTCGTACATTATATAAGCTATCGGTCATTTCGTACATCAATGAAATATTCGGATATTTGAAAATGTATTTAATGTTTATAAGAGTTCATTCGAATTCAACCAACAGAAACTTCGATTTGAATCAGGTCCCCTTGTATCTACGCCGTTTTAAAATACCTTCAGTTTAAGTGGAATGTATTTCATCATCAACAAGAAGGTACCCAGAGATGTAGAAGCTATGATCTCTCCTTTCTTAATAAAGTAAAGAAAAAGTAAAGCTATCCCTGTACCAGGCCGTGAAGGCCCATAGGGTTGTGAGCCGTCGAGACTCCCACATTATCTAGACAATCGGCTCAAAGATGGCGGTAATGTTGTCAGCCTTACGCGCCGGCCGCGCTTTACTCCCCAGGAAAATTATTTAATTAATCTCTTTTCTTAGACTTACGTTATTTTCCGATGACGAACTGCTTTCATCTTTCATAGTCAAAGGAATTATTTAATAAAATTGTGGAGCGTGGCAGATTAAATTACATACGAGATGTAATGTGCTTAATTAAGAAAAATCAAGTAACAATTGCAATTTTCTTGCCATAGAAAACTCTTGTGTCAATCACAACCAATAGAATGTTACGATATTCGACTGTGTGAGGATGAACGCCAAGATATCTCGCGCCAGACGTGAAGTTTGGTCGCTCAAGAGAGCAGAAGGAGAGGGAATTTTATAATGTGGTGGGGATACGTATCGACGTACAAGAAGAAAAAGAATCTCTGCTCTACAACAACTACCAGTGAATTTCCTGCTCACAAAGCCAGGCGGCAGACTGACCTGCTTCACCTTTCTGCGCATTGCTGGATCAAGTTGACTCGAACACATGCGCGACTGCGCAAAAGAGAATGGAATGTTGTTTCTGAACACATATCATCACTCACGGCGCAAGATTAACAGAAATTCGAACTTCCATCCTATCATCCAGCGAAGAGAAGACGCGGCAATTAAACAAGGTCCACCAGCGTATAATATTCAAGCCCAAAACATTTTCTTTGTTTTCTTGTCACCCTCACACTGCAGCTTCATGTCGAGATGAATGAAGATGATGTAAACTTCTCAGCGGCCGCCGTCGAAAGCCTTGTTCTCGTAGCTTTTCAGCTGCACTACAGGAAGTGACGTCTTCTCCGATATGACGTACACACTGGGCGCTCCTTCCCTGTTATCTTGATGAATCGTGTTGCTATGGAAACCGCTGGGCTGGACTGCGTTTCCTGCAGCAGGAACAATGCTTACTCCTTTGGCAGTGGGCGTGGCATCTGAAGTTAGAATATATTAAGATTTAGCTTTAATTAATTAATAAATTAATAATTAAGTTCTTTGTGAATAAGTGCCTGAAATCTCCCGTTCCCGGCGCGCAGGCATCCGGATTTCAACCTGGTGGTGGTGGTATTTAGGCTATGGCCAGCCGTCCTTCCAGCACTTGCGGTTTGTATACCATCAGGGCGAGGGCACACCAAGGAAACCGGCAACCGCAACGCAACCGCAATTTCCGAGAGTTTGTAACAGACTAAATTGAACACGTGTAACTGAATGGAGCAGCGCAGACTGAGGAAACGGCAACTCAGTTACAACGCAACTTGCGGAAGACTGAGAAACTCAACTCTCAGGCAACTGAGCAAGCCAGTCTTATCACAGTTGCGTTGCAGAGTAATTTCGTGGTTTCAGCTGTTCTAACGTGCGTCTTCAGATGATACGAAAGGTTTATGAAGGTGCTAATTTTGTTTTTGTGCAGTTAATTGGACAGTAGCATGGTATCTGTGACAAATGCCACGTAGACTATGCTAGTCGCAACAAAACAGATTTCTCACGATGTGAAGGAGGCTGGATCCTTCTTCAGTTCTTCCGAAACAATATAAGCCTTGAGTTTAAATTGTCACTTATGAACGGATACATCCAATGTTTTCCTAATATTATATTTAAGCATCCTGTTGCATTAATATATAATTTATTTCATGTATATCTCCGTCTTAAAGACAATTTATTATCCAGTCACCTAGTCACTGCATGTTTCGCCTGTATGCGGCCATCATCAGGTGTCGTCTATCTTGCTAAAATTGTTGCACTGTATATCAAAATTTCGTATCGCGTGTGACAGTTTCAGTACTGTCATCTGACATTACAGAAGAGAAGTGCACGGAATTGAACATTACAGTCACGCATTAAGTCGGACGAACACACGCACCAGAGATGATGTGAGCAACTATTCAAACACAAGTTTCCTCAGTGTGCGCCTGCTAATCTGGAAACTAGTTGCCTGCTTCAAACCGGTGACGTTTCTCGGAAGTTGCGGTTGTATTGTAGTTGCCACTTTCTTTGGTATGCAGGCCGCACCATAGCTCAAGCGGTTAGTCTCTAGCTTCACACCGCGGCGGCCCGGGTTAGATCCCGGGTCTGGTCAAGTGGGATTTGTGGTGGACAAAGTGGCCCTGTGGCAGGTTTTCTCCGAGTTCTTCGGTTTCCCTTGCCAATCTTCATTCCACCAATTGCTCCACAATCACCATCCCCTATCATCTGGGGCTGGTACAATAGGCCAGAAGTGGCCGCAGTACAAAGGACTTAGTTACACCCCACTAGCAAAAAAAAAATCTTTGGTATGCCCTCGCCACTACAGTACTGTAGTGGAAGTGACAACACAGTAACTTTTTCGTACAACCGAACACGGCCGAGCATTGCTGGCTCCAGACGAACGCAAACTGTTTTACCTCTCCGGCCGGAGGCGGCAGCACTTACACGAACACATGACGGAACAAATCTCCCCTGTCATATGTTATGCTTTGAAATTGTAGTAAACTGTAATTATATTGGTTTATAATGAAAACCCAGTTACGTTTGTTTTAGAAAGAAACGAAAACTGTGATAACAGAAGTTTGTCTAGGAAGCTGCGAAAGGGACTGCCCTTACTGAATGCTGAATTATTGTGTATAATGTAAATTAGCGACGTAAATTTCGAGCAGCAGTCTGACTGTTGCGACTGAGACCGGTCAACACGCAACAGTAGGCGGCTGCATATGGCGCCGAATGGGATTGACTCTGCACCCCCTTCAAGTTTCTACGCTGAAAGTTCTGTTTTCATAATTCTTTGTTGCGGGTCACGTAGCCAGAATATAGATCAAAATACAAATATAAATAAATAATAATAAATGGTTTGAAAATCTGATATTTCTTGGAATAAATGGAAGCCTAATTTTGCTATATTTACGTAAGAGCCCTTCTCTAAGAGAAAGGAAACAAAAGATGGAGAATACCGTCCTCTAGGATCTTCTTCTCGTGGTGCCCATCAGTACGCTCTTTTGAGATGCTGGTAAATGTGTACCACACCTCACGGCGTCACATCTTAGTAAACAGCATTATTCATATGTACCGCCGTGAGAACTTTGAGTCTCGTAACTCTAAGTTAAAGCTGTCTCTGTACTTAAGTAATTAAGTATTACGCCAGGAAGACGTATGAGGGAGTGGAGGTATAATTCCACCATTCTTGACCTTGGCGCTAAATGGTGGTGGCTGGTCAGCTTCACGCTCCGATCGCTTAACCCGGGGAAATAGCCCCCACTACCCACTGAACAGGAGGCTGGGTGAACCCCAGAGCCCGTCCAGACGATTTGGAGAAGATACAAATCATGCCCTTACCGAAAATCGAACCCCGGATATCTAACCCGTAATCCATCATCGTATCTACTAACCTATTTCGAGTTCCATATTATTATTATTATTTTATTGTTCTTAGTGAAGTGAGACTGAGTCCCCTTGGTACTGCGGCCACTACTGGCACACTGTACCAGTCCCCAGTTGTCATTAATCTTGTGATCGCTTACCTCGAGGTTGCCGCTTGATTACGATTCTGTCCAGGTTCATGAAAGGTACTTCGAACGCGAGGCTGATGACAGCTGCCAGCACCAGAGTGAACATGAGGTTCCCTGCGAATTCGTGTACCTGAACAGGCAAACAAAAATTGTTAAGCACTGCAAACAGACAGAAAAATTAATTGCACAAAGCAAACATTTCATATATTTGACGTTTTTTAAAGTTAAGTAGGGGCAGTCTGGAGGACATATTAAGCCGACTGTCTGTTGTGTTTTTTTTTGTGCGCGGAAGTTATCGAAGGCTTCAGTTGTGCTCATTAGCCTGGACATTAGGTAGTAAGTTTTGTTAACCATATTTACTTGAATATGTATTAAAAGTACATTGACCTCTATAACTTTGTTAGATTCGAGATTCTCACGGAAGTGACAAGGCCATTATATTCTGGGGCATGACACCGTATATTCTGGCAGATGTTTACGGATGTTTCTCCTTATAAATTTCTGTATCCATCCTCAAGGTCGAAGAATAAGCAGTGAAATTGGTGGTTGCTTATTCAGCTTATTCTTCGACCCTGAAGATGGAAGCAATATATTCTTCCGAATCTTCGGCTACAAGACGTCACGTCCCAGAAGAGATACTTGTACCATTATGTTCTTCATAGTCTAGATACACTGACTGGGTTAGCGTAAAGGGGATATTTCAGGAAGGGAAGATGAACTACGTGAGCTTGGTGAGCGTGTAACTGTAATGCGATATAAGGAATGCATAGAGGAACTTGGTGGGGAAACGTCCACTTGGAAGACAGAGGAGAAGGAAAGAAAAATAACGGCAGATGAAGAGAGACTGGTCGAGTAGACATGGATGAACTGGTTTAGCATAGAGTGAAGTGCATTGCAGTCAGTACCGAATCTTCAGGTTCTCCTGCCATGTTGTGAGTCATGCATCTTAGCGTTTTGCTGCTTTTTACCGCCTGTGGAGTCTTATATGGAATTGTATGCAAATGATTTCAGGATCTTTGTGTAATTGTGGGATGCTGTGAAGGCAGTAGTGAATTTTCGGTGAGGGAATTTCTTGGCTAGTTGAGCGACGTATTAAGTTCTGAAGAAGGACTCCTCTCCACGGAGTTAGCAGCTGTGGTGTTCTTTTCATTAGAGTGACTTAATTCTGACTCTACCTCGTGTGGGAACTTGCAGTTAATGGTTGTTGGAATGACAACGCCTGTCCAAGGAGGATTATTCTGACGCGCTATACAGATGTGGCAGAGAAGTTGCCTATAGGGGAGGGCGATATGAGTATTTCTATCGTTTCTCCAAGCCATGGATTCAAGGTAATAAGGAAATCCATATTTTTACCACCTGGGATTCTTCCCAAGGACTAACCACTCACTTAAAAAAGTGCCGAATTTAGGAATATGTGGAGCTCTACCTCCACTTCCCACATGTTTTCACGCAGTAATATTTATTTAAAGAGCGAGACAGGCCGTGCCACAGTTCAGGCATTTCGTTGTCAGCTTCCCTACACTGCAGCCCGTGTTCGATTCCAGGTTAGATCATGTGAGGCTTATGGTGGACATACTGTATCTGGATCATACCGCCAATTCTATTTCATCCAGAGCTAGTGTACTAAGCTCATAAGTGGCCGGCGTAGCAAGCGGACTCAGTCTCATCGCGGACAACTTTACCTCAGCCTTTGCCTTCCATCTTCATCATCATTGACAAAAACCCTTTTTTAAGCCATAAATTTCCTTGGAAAATTCTGACACATTTGTGTATTCTGTCGTGAATTAAGACTGTCCAGTTTTCACTTCTCTGGAGTTCGAAAGAGTAATGTTTACACATAACTTAATAATGCAATTCCTAGTTTGCGTATCACGTGATGATGAGTTGTTGGGTATAAACATGTAGTGGATTTCAATAAAAAGGAAACATTGCCCTGTGCCAGCTGTTATCAAAGCAAATTTAATATTTATGAATTTTGTAATTACTAAATGCAACGCAACGCAGAACTTTAGGTAACATTTAAATATATTTACTCTTTGTGTACACTTTAAATTTTGCATTACTTTGCTTTTAGTAATTACGAAATTCATAAATATTAAATTTATTTCAATAACAGTTGACACAGCTGCAGTGGTTGGCAATGTTTTATTTTTATTGAACGCCACTGCCTCTTATATAACTATCTCCTTGAGATAAGGATCCAATTATCAATGCTTTTACGCTGTGTTATATAAACAGAAGTTCTTAACCTGTACTGTAAGTATATGTGTTGGTGCGAAGTGTGATCCTTTCTTCGTTTTAAACAACAACGGCTCGCACCCACATATATCCCCACAATATATCTGGTTTTATTAGCTTCTTTTATTTATTCTTTCCCGCTATTATTGCAATATGAAAGAAAAAATCCGTTCGCCGCGTGGCAAGTACTGTGACTGGTGAATATGCTAGTGACCTCTGGCAAGAAAAGTAGCATTCATTCGGAAATGGGGTCCTATATAATGTCGAATTTCAGAACACTGATTACAAACTACAGGGAAACTGTAAAAGCTTGTAGCTCAGGTCATATGCAACCACAGGCAGCGGAAAACTTTTATCTTGACGTCACCCGTGCTTCTAGTTACAGAGAGGTAAAACAAGAAAATTGTCTTTGTGCTTAATTTATTGAGCAATAACATTGGAGACGTATGGAGGAGTAGAGATATAAATCTAAAATGTTTGATTTAGGCACTAGATGTAGGTTAGTAGTCTGCTTCAAGCTCCAACCGCTTTACCCCCAAAGGAGAAAGCCCACGCCCACGAGACACGTTGGATGTGAGGCTGGTCCCCAGAGCCTCTTTACAATTTGTGGAGAAATAGAAATCTCCTGCCTCTGCTGCGAATCGAACCCTGGTCATGTGGGTAGAGAGATCTCAGTGTAAATTAGTAATTCGGTAAGACACACCACATGAATTGGCGTTCTACAGAAGTTCTTAACAACAGAATCCTAAGTACGCAGCTTCCGGTTTTCATCTTCAATGACATTTACGAGATAAAGTTTTTGTTTTCCTCAGTCCCTCCATTTTGTCGGATACTCACGACTGTGTACTCGCTGAGGTAGCCAGGCGCCCTGATGCTGCCGGCGTTGTAGAGAAGAACCACATAGTGACACAGGTACGCAGAGTACGTGAGGCGGCTGAGGGGTACGAACAGTCTCCAGGACAGGAAGGCGTTCACCGGGCCTGCGGACACAGCGTGAGAGCTGAAATACATCCGAACCTGCTAACGAAAAGGCTGTTGGTCGGTTGTGATAGAAGCTATCCCTGCATGTGTTCAGTTCTCTTACAGGTGTCTATAAACGTTTTTCGAGTAGTTTTCTAATTCTTTGGAGTAGATGAGATTGAATCTACTCTGTACGACGCCCTCTAGTGGGCGTCCTGTACCAGCCCCGGATAGTAGATGAGTATGGAGCATTTAGTAGAATAAGGATTGGCAGGAGAAACAGAAGTATTCGGAGGAAACCTGCGCCAGTACCAATTTGTTCATCGCAAATCCCACATGACTTGACCGGGCCGCTGCATTTGGAATCCTCCACTAACCGCTTGAGCTTCGTTAGGGTCTTAATAACATTTTTCTTTTCGTGAGGTAGGTTAAGACAAAGTCCACTTGGTATGTCAGTCACCAGTGGAATGAGACTTGACAAGGAAACCCAAGCACAAGGAGGAAAAATTCCGCAGTATCCCTTTGTTCACCATAGATTCCAGATGTCCTGACCCCTGATCGAACTTGAGCCGCTGCGGTGTGAAACCGGCGACTGTCTGCATGAGCTACGGCACGACCCTTTATAAAAGTTAGTTTGATACATGTTCTTTCGTGACATTTGATTGGCTGCTGCCACGAAGAATACGTGCCACGGAAAAATAAATTTCGAATAAGATATTCTAATGGTTTTTCAATCGACATTTTACTATGTAGTTAATCGTTTTGGGACTTGAGTAATACATTGGGACTCCGTGGCTTGAGTTCGCAAGCGAACTATACCGACCGAGCGACCACCGCTTGTCGGCGAAGTTAGTGTCAACTTTAGCGGATAGAGGATTTTGTGTGGTCAGCTCAACGGATTCCTACGGCCGTTAATCTCGGTTTCCTAGACCGGAGCCGCTATTTCCTTAAAACAGCTCCTCAGTTATCTTCACGAGGCTGAGTGGACCCCGTTCCAGACCCACTACTTCTCAGAAAATCTCGTATCTCCGGGAATGGAACCCTAACTTTTGGATCTGTAGGCAGGAACTCTAACCACTAGACCACAGATACATTGGGACTACTACGTATAAGTATAGGATATTGGATGTGCTTTTGCTTCACGAAGTTAAAATCCGTATAGAAATAATAGTAACATACCGCCATAACCTTTCGTGCAAGCAAATGCAATCCAGGCGACTCCTAGTGTCCAGGCGGAGCGATGCAGCCCGGCGTATATGCTGGATTCGAAGGCGTTGTACTTATGATTATCGTCGTAGAAGACTGCTGCACTGAGAACTACAGCAGTGCACGAGCACAGGGACACAAGCCATCCCAGTGCCACCCAGACCTGTCAACATGGCCACTGCTATTACTTGCTTACAGGGCAACACAAAGCACAGGGACACCAGCCATCCATGTGGCACCCAGGCCTATCAACATGACCACTGCTATTACTTGCTTACGGGGCAACACAAAGCACAGGGACACCAGCCATCCCAGTGCCACCCAGGCCTGTCAACATGGCCACTGCTATTACTTGCTTACAGGGCAGCAGAGAGCACAGGGACACAAGCCATCCCAGTGCCACCCAGACCTGTCAACATGGCCACTGCTATTACTTGCTTACGGGGCAACACAAAGCACAGGGACACCAGCCATCCCAGTGCCACCCAGGCCTGTCAACATGGCCACTGCTATTACTTGCTTACAGGGCAGCAGAGAGCACAGGGACACAAGCCATCCCAGTGCCACCCAGACCTGTCAACATGGCCACTGCTATTACTTGCTTACGGGGCAACACAAAGCACAGGGACACCAGCCATCCCAGTGCCACCCAGGCCTGTCAACATGGCCACTGCTATTACTTGCTTACAGGGCAGCAGAGAGCACAGGGACACAAGCCATCCCAGTGCCACCCAGACCTGTCAACATGGCCACTGCTATTACTTGCTTACGGGGCAACACAAAGCACAGGGACACCAGCCATCCCAGTGCCACCCAGGCCTGTCAACATGGCCACTGCTATTACTTGCTTACAGGGCAGCAGAGAGCACAGGGACACAAGCCATCCCAGTGCCACCCAGACCTGTCAACATGGCCACTGCTATTACTTGCTTACAGGGCAACACAAAGCACAGGGACACCAGCCATCCCAGTGCCACCCAGGCCTGTCAACATGGCCACTGCTATTACTTGCTTACAGGGCAGCACAGAGCACAGGGACACAAGCCATCCCAACGCCACCCAGGCCTGTCAACATGGCCACTGCTCTTACTTGCTTACAGGGCAGCACAGAGCACAGGGACACAAGCCATCCCAACGCCACCCAGGCCTGTCAACATGGCCACTGCTATTACTTGCTTACAGGGCAGCACAGAGCACAGGGACACAAGCCATCCCAACGCCACCAAGGCCTGTCAACACACTACTCATATGCAACAAATGGAGAGGCTCTGTATTCAGTTTTCAACTGGATTTAGGGTAACAGCAAAGCAACAAGCATACGTCTCACTAATTTCATAGTTTGCATTCCGTCTCCCCTGACAGGTTTTATTGATGACGTTTCTTTCATTTGAAAATACAATTCCCTGTCAATGCTCCACCCTATATTCGTCGCCAGGCCGACTCCTCCGTTCGAGCTACATCCTTTTCTAGGATGAAAGCATACAATCATGAAATACCCTGAAACATCGCCTTTCATAGACTTCGACATCCATTTGACCGGCATGACCTTCACTACAAAGCAATCCCTTCCCACACGGAAGAGCAATCCACCATGGGCTATAACCTGAGCCGATCCAATCCAGTTCAATATTCTCAGAAACATTTTGCAAAATTATTTTCAATATTGTCACCCTAGTTAAGCTTGAAGGGCCCGGCCTCTTTAAGATTTTTGATGAAGGAAATTGTGCTTGGCTTGGGTATGTTTATAATTATTGTCATCACAGTGCTTACTATTTGTCCCGCCCATTGCATTATCCTTCATTTGATCACCTCAGCGGTTCTAGAAGAACTGCGCGTTGACATAAACCAGATTAATAACTCACCATTGGTATACTGATGTGTTTGTTTCTTAAGACGTGCAGAAGGTATCCCAAAGCGATGCCGATAAGATAGGGTCCTGCTCTTGCGTACGTCTTGGTGTAGATGAATGAGTACACAGCAGCTACTGGCAGAAGGCTGCAATGCGAAGTAAATAATACTAATCATAACAGGATGGATGTTTCAATCGGGACATGGACGGGCTGCGGTCTGGACGGCTTGGGACTCTGTTTTGTCCCAGCCCCAGATGATAGGTGAGGGTGATTGTGGAGCAATTGGTGGAATGAAGATTGACAAGGGAAACCGAAGTACTCGGAGGAAACCTGCCCCAGTGTCACTTTATCCATCACAAATCCCACATGACCACACCCGGGATCGAACTCAGGCCGCCGCGGTGGGAAGCCAGCTGTAAACCTCTTGGGCTATGGCGCGACCTTCTGTTTATCGTTTGTAGCTCTAACAGAAGAAGACCTTTCGGAATCTGTATCTGTTTCCTTCTAGAGAGGAATGATGGGTGGGGTGCACCTACTTTGTTTTTTCTGTTAGAAAGAGCTAAACCAGTCTGAAGGGGCTAAGTTTCGGTGATTTAGATCAACTGTTTCTAACGAACCGAACTGGGTTCCTGCAACTCAACCTTTGCTCATGAGAACTGGAACAGATCCAGTTCTCTGAACGTCGTGTTTGATCTTTGGTTCTAGTTGGGTACTTGAAGATGTTGTCCGCATTAAGACTCTAGAGTGTCCGTTGATAAATGAATAAATACTGGAAAATATCTGTAAGGGAGCTAATGTGTTCTAAACCAAATATATCAGAATTTGCCTATAAAAGTAATGAGGAAAACCACGAAAGACTTCAGTCAGGATGGCACGCTACCTGGCTGAGCTACAATTCCAGATTGTTACTTCTATACCAACTTATTCTGTAGCCATTTTGTCCCTCATGAATACAAGATGGTGGACAAAATGGAGAAACTAACCAATTCCGAGTTCATGGTCGGAATCAACTGGAATGTACTTACTCCTTATTGTAGAGCATGACGGCGGTGAGGCGCTCAGCGAAGGTGATTGCGAATGGAATGATGATAGAGAGGAAGATGACAAATGCCAGTAACCCTTTGCCAAATCGCGGCCATCTGGCGAGTGGATAGAGAAGCAGAGGGGACAACCAGAATAACTGCATGTCGACTGCAAGGTACCACGTCTGGTTCAGGCACTGCAACAAGAAGTGTCACTTTGCACTTGACGTAATGTCTGTGAGCTGAAAAGAAACTTGTAGTAGGTTGAAAGATGAATTTGAAAGAATTTAAAAGGAACCAGTAGTAGAATAATCCAGGTACTGTCCTGTAGTTGCTCAGAAACTAACCTTAATATTATGCATCCTGTTGTGTGTTATTTACGAAAATATATCATTTGGGACAGTCGCAAAAGAAATAATGGAAAAGAAACAAAATACACATTACTGTTTCCGGTGTTATCGTTACATGTTTCGGCCTTTTTCCTGAGTCATCTTCAGGCGTACGTGAATACCATTTAGCTTCTGAATAATTGAAAATCTTATTCATAATATCCACTGTCCCGCCCGAGAATCGAACAGAGCACCATGCGAAAACAAATATTTTAGGAACGTGTGCGTCGGATTGGGCTATTTAAGACGACAGTTACGAGACATGGCGTCGAATTGACTTCCAGTTGCACGCCTTTTCTAAGGAGTTTAAAGAATTTTCGCAGTTCCTTGAGAACTTAATGAGAGCGAGCCAAAGGAGTGCAGTTACCATCTGATCCAGGTTGATGTAGTTGTTGATGTAGAGCAAGTTAGTCCACCAGTTGGCCACGCAGTAATCTCTGTTCGCGCCTGCCCATGTGTCCCAGAGAGGTCCTGACCCCAAGCGGGAGAGCAGAGTGGCGTAGAAGAAGATTACGAAGGCGTAGGGTGGCGTCAGCCTAAATCATAACAGTTCAGTTCACTTTGCATTTATTTATATGCTAACTTCACAGTACAAAAGACCAGTTAGAAAATGAGAACGCGTGACGTAAAAAAACAAAAAAGAAACACAAAAAACAAAACAATATGATGAT